AATGGTCCTTCTAGCCCAGGATCCTGTCTTCCGAAGTGTCCAATGCTAGGTGCTTCATAGGGAATAAACAGACCAGGGCAATTATTAATCCATCCCCTCTTATCCAGTCCCCGTATTTGCCAGCCAGAGGCTTTGGAACATCCAGAGCATGGGGTTGCATCCCTGACCATCTTGGCTAACAGCCATTAATGGACCTATCCTCCATGAGCTTATCTAATTCTTTTTTGAACCCAGTTATAGTTTTGGCCTTCACAACATCCCCTGGCAATGAGTTCCACAGGTTGCTGTGCGTTGTGTGAAGAAATACTTCCTTACATTTGTTTTAAACCTGCTGCCTATTAATTTCATTGGGTGATCCCTGGTTCTTGTGTTAACTAGGTGACCAGACAGCAAGTGTAAGAAATCGGGACAGGGGGTGGGGGGTAATAGGTGCCTATATAAGAAAAAGCCCCCAAAATCAGGACTGTCCCTATAAAATTGGGATATCTGGTCACCCTAGTGTTAACTGAATAGGTAAATAACACTTCCTTATTCACTTTCTCCACGCCATTTGTGATTTTATAGACCTCTAGCCTACCTCTCCTTAGCTGTCTCTTTTCCAAACTGAACAGTCTGTCTTTTTAATCTCTCCTCATATGGAAGCTGTTCCATAACCTAAATCATTTTTGTTGCCCTTCTCTCTACTTTCTTCATTTCTAATACAGTAACTCCTCACTTAACGTCATCCCGGTGAACGTTGTTTCGTTGTTACATTGCTGATCAATTAGAGAACATGCTAGTTTATAACGTTGTTTGGCAGCCGCCTGCTTTGTCCACTGCTTGCAGAAAGAGGAACCCATTGGAGCTAGCTGGTGGGGGGCTTGGAACCAGGGTGGACCGGCAGCCCCCCATCAGCTCCCCTAAGTTCCCTGTGTGGCAGCCACCCAGCAGGCTATCAATTGCCGGGCAGTTCAGTTGTCCCTCCCCCCATTGCCATGTGCTGCTCCTGCCCTCTGCTTTGGAGCTGCTCCCGGGAGCCTTCTGCTTGCTGTGCGGGGGGGGGGGGGGGGGGGGGGGGGGGTGGAGGGGGCTAATGTCAGGGGGTCCCCCTCCCCTCCCCCATCTCCACAGAGCGGGGAGGGGGGGAACATGACAGGGCTCAGGATGGAGGGAGCTTTCGGGCAGCAGCAGCTGTCTCAACTTGCTGATCTACTTAGGGCTTGTCTACACTTACATTTTATAGTGCTCTAACTTGCTGGCTCAGGGGTATGAAAAATCACCCCCCTGAGCACAGCAAGTCTGGAGGTGGATTACCAGGAGCACTGAGAGAGCTCTCTCCCAGCACTCATGCGTGACCACACTCACAGTTCAAAGCGCTGCTGGGGGAGCATTCCCATGGCAGCGCTTTGAAGTTTCCAGTGTAGACATACCCTTAGAGTGGGGTCAGTGTACCTAAAGGGGCAATGCGTCTCTCTCTCTCTCTCTCACAGGGTGTGTCTCTGTCTTTCTCTGCCATGCTGTCTCCCCTCCCTCCATTCCTGCTGCCTTGTAGAGTGTGAGGCTACATTAACAACATGTTAACCCTTGAGGGCTCAGCCGAGTACTAGTTCATCATTTAGCAGTAAGGCATTCCCTGGGAAATATCCCACCCTCTTCCACCCACTGACTTCACCACCTCAACCAAGCTTCACAATCATCATTGGTGTGTACAGTATTAAATTGTTTGTTTAAAATTTATACTGCGTGTGTGTATAAAAAATATTTCCCTGGAACCTAACCCCCCCATTTATGTTAATTCTTATGGGGAAATTGGATTAGCTCAACATCATTTTGCTTAAAGTAGCATTTTTCAGGAACATAACTACATACCCCCACCCTCCCTCCCCCCGCTCAGCCCCAGGCCCTGCCCCCACTCCACCCATTCCCCCAAGGCCCCACTCCCGCTCCACCTCTTCCCATCCCTGCTCCACCCCTACCCCTCCTCTTCCTGCCCCCTCCCCCGAGCGCACCCCATCCCTGCTCCTCCCCCTTCCTCCCAGTGCCTCCTGCACGCCGGGTAACAGCTGTTTCCCAGCATGCAAGAGGTGATGGGAGGGAGGGGAGAAGATGAGATGATCAGTGGGGCTGATGGACCCCCAGGGGTCTGCAGACCCCAGTTTGAGAAACACTGCTCTATCATATACATCACCTATTGCTAAAGCACGCATGTGGTTAAACATCTGCCAGCAATTCTATCCTGAAATATCCAAACCCAGTACCAGTTCAGTGTTCCTGCAGTTGCTTGGTATTGTTATGGACCAATTCTCTCTCTTGCCCAAGCTATTCCTAGGCCTACTTTACCTATGCTAACTCGCTTAAGCCAATGTCTTACAGGACACAGGCCCGTAGGTTCCCTCCGTTACATAAAAGGCTAAGCTAGCTCTATGGGCTACAGTTTACTGTCTTTTAACCAGTTACTGATCCATCAGAGGACCTTCCCTCTCATCCCAAGACTGGCTGGCAACGGTTGCCAAGGGACCATAGTCATAACTGGAGCACAGTGCACATGGCCATAGCACCTCCTTGTCTCCTATGCCAGAGCCAGACTGGAACAGAATGTCAGCTCTACATCAGCTAAAAGCTTCCCTATGCTGAGGAAATTCTCATCTGCTAAGAGCTGGTGGCTTTCCAGTGGCACAAAGGGGCCAGAATGAAACACAGAATCTGACTCAAATAGTTTATCTTCATTCTTAAACCTATCCCCAAGATTAGATGGAGCATATATGTACTATCACTAAATATTCCAGAGCAATAGTTACACATTTTCAAAAACTTTATTTTAAAAAGGCATTCACAACACCTCAAAAATATAATGTGGTAGCTGATAATTTTACAAAAAATGTAAAAAATATATATACAAAGTAATAAGGTAATTAAAATAAAATAAAAAAACCCACAAAGACATCCACTTCCATTACCAGTTAGGAATGACCAGTTGCATTAATTTAGCAGCTTGAACTGTGCTCATAAAATATTGTGTGTTTCCTGGTTTCATTACATACTTTCTGGCCATACAGTTTTTTGATTATGTCATTACAAAAAGGAATATTTCCATGCAGCATCATACATTGCATTAGAAGTTCACACTTTAACTTCTGATAGAGATTTTATATCTATGGTACAAGTCTAAATATGTCTACGCCCGGCTAATGAGGCAGCTCATGGTATCCGACACCATCAGGTGGTCCAGAGACATTTATACGGAACACATCACAGGACACTGTCAATACCACATTGAGTAACCGAGACCGCCGACCAGGGAAATAACCCACTTCCTTCCCTGACGGACCCAGGGACGCACCCCACCCATGTACTTATCCGCTACACCGATACTGACTTTGACTCCTTATTCATTCCATGGGTGGCGTACCTTAGCCCACCTATCCACTGACACTTTAAAACCCTTGCACCCCAATCTGGGTCTATGCAGGTTATGTGATATATATGTACCTTTTCATCCTTGCAAACGATACCTGTAAGCCCCCATAACCCAAGCCTGACCCCAGATGTACAGTACCTTGCCTCTTAACTCATGTATATTTTATTTTAAACATTCACTTTAATAACATTTTTATTTCTTAATACCTTATACCAGTGGTCCCCAACCTTTCCGTGTGGCAGGCAACGGACGACTAGCCGCCGAGGAGCGTGGCTGCTTGTCCGGCGGCCAGTAGGCGGGTGCACATAGATGCCCCAGCAGGCGCTATGGCGCCCGCGGGCACCGCGTTGGGGACCACTGCCTTATACTATTTTGAACTGCTTTAATCATCAAGTGAAATCCTGGCTCCAATGAAACATATGGCAAAAGTCCCATTGACGAAGGCCATACGTATAAATCGACCTAACTTATGTCGGCATACAGCTGTCGCAATAATTACACTGCTTGTGCGTGTCCACACTTTGCTCCTTGGGTCGTAGTGCGCATCCTCACCAGGAACACTTGTATCAATTGTACTGTAAGTGTGGGGCATTTTAAAATGGCTCCTGAAAGCCAGTAATAGTCAGCATAAGCAATGCAGAGTCTAGAGTGACTTTGTGTTAACCTAACTATATCAATCTTGAGCCACACGTGGAGGTGGAGTTATTAAGTCGGCTTAGCAACGCAATTACATCGGTGGGAGAGAAATGTAAGTCTAGACACTTCCATAGCTAGGTCGATGTAAGCTGCCTTGTGTCAACATAACTCTGTAGAGTAGACCAGACCTTAAATGGAACCAACATTTCACCTTCAGTGTTTTGCAATGAAATATGCTTTGTGGAAAAATAATAATGCCTTATTTTATACTTCATACTTTTAAAAGAGAGTGCACTTTCTGGATCTGAACCCACCAAATGTGCTATGACCATCTACTAGTTGGCTGGTCCCTGTTTCACTATAGATAGAAGTAAATGCTGAATTTGTTTAAACATTATCAATATAGGAGATACAGTTCAGGAACAATGTCAGTTTTCATTCTTTTCCCATGGTTTTCACTTGATCAGCTTTCTCTGCATAATCAACTTCTGTGTACGATTAATTCATTTACAGGAATGCAGCATTACTCTATTGTTTGCAATGGTTAAAACATATTGCAAAGTAACCCCCCATATAGAGCAGGCCTTCCTGAGACTGCTTGTGGAGATTACTTTGTGGTGAGACACCCATATGGTAACATCATTATTTCTGTTTCTCATGGTGAATTTTTGGTAAAGGTTTACTACTTATTAACACTTAAAGCAGACTTGTCTGTGGACCACAACGTGTGAGAATTCACAAAGTTTAATAACTGGCATATACTGTTGATACATATATTTACCTTCAGATCTGTACTTCGCTTTTATGTGTGTGAAATACAGCTAGTATTGTACACTAAAAGCTTGTCTGCACAACGGGTTTAGTTTGTTCTCAGCTGATGCGTACCAGTTGGTGCCCAATACATAACTTGCTCTAACAGCATGCATATGGGACAGTTGTGCCTTCTTTCAATTTGCATGATTTCGTACACATGGTGGAGGCTTTGTGCATACTAAGCGTGTGGCATTTTGGGTGAGTATCTGATAGTCCTTTGCTTTGCTGTTGAGCTGTGTGCATTCTGGGATTTCTCTCGCTGCACACTGTGAAATGCATTGCAGAAACCAGTGGAATTCTGGGACTTGAGGTAAAATTCAGAATTCCATGATTTTGCTCCATCTACCCTGATTCGATTCCTCTCTATCAGGGAAGGCTAGCACCATTTTTGAACTGCTGTTGGCCAGCATGGAGGCAACAATGATCCACACCACAATTCTGGCAACTATGAGTATACGCAGAGGCTGTCTGGACTTTATTTGAGCTCAGAGTGCTGGGTGGCTTTGGCCTCCAATCAACAAGCAGCTGCTGTGGCTACCCAGCAGCAGTAGCAGAGGAACGAGCAGGACATCGAGCAACTGCTACTGAACTCTTCCTGGAGCAGCTTCACTTGGTGCTGTGCCATTTCTGGCTCAGGAAACCAGCACTGATTGGTGGGGCAGGATTGTTCTGAGGATCTGGGATGACCAGCGGTGGCAACAGAATTTCAGAAGAGTGAAGGCAATCTTTTCCGAGATCTGTGCTGAACTAGCTGCAGTGCCACCATACCAACATGTAAAGTCCCATAACCCACTGAGAAATGGGTTTCCATCACCATCTGGAAGCTGGCCACCCCAACTGTTACTGGTCCATAGCCAACCAATTTGATGTGGGGCGATCGACTATTGGAGGCATTGTCACGCAGGTGTGTGCTGGCATGCAGAAGGTACTGTTGCACCAGGTTATAAATCTTGGTAATGCTCAGATTATTGATGGCTATGCATGTAAGGGTTTCCTGAATTGTACTGGGGCAACTGATGGGGCCCACATGCCTATCATTTGACCCCACAAAGCAGTGTGGGACAGATGTTGGAGGAGTGCTAAAGTAGCACAAAGCAACATTGTGCAGACATGAGCGATAGTCTGCACTAACTCAATTTTCACTGAACTTAGTACACTTTGACGGAGGACTCCAGAATTTGCACCAAGTTAAGAGTTAGGGTTTGCCTCATGTGTACATAGGTATTTTCAATCTGCACTAACTTGAGTTAGACTGGACTAAACCCCTTGTGTAGAGAAGCCCTAAGCTACCAAAACACTGTTCATTAATACATGAGTCCTGCATGCTTTTATAACATACAGGCATATATTTAGAATGTAAAAAATGCAGAGTTCATCAGAAGCTGAATTGTATGTTCAAACCAGAAAGAGATACTCTGAAACATGACCAATTGTTTATTCATGTTTTATAAAGTGGTTCTTGCTTTCACCAATTCATCTCCTTATGTATTCAGAATCTGATGCATCACTTTCATCCGAGACACTAGGTTTTTGCCATTCGTGTGAGATGTTATGACAAACTGGCTTCTTAACATCTACTGTGTTAGTAAAAAATTTTGATTCAAGTGCATCAGAAGCACTAGAATCTTGCAAGTCAACTGCATCCTTTTGGTGGGAGATTAATGTTGCAGAATCATCCCAGGTCTTGTCAGGGTCTCCCAGCATCACAGTATTTAAGTTTATGTTAAAGCAAGCACTGTTACTTAACTCAGAAGTTGAGGAACTGTTTACTTCAGATGAAGGATGAAAGAACACTCTACTTGTGCTTTCATTTTCTCTAATGACAGATTGATGCTCTTCGGAATTTTCTGTGTCAGAATTCAGAAGTTCAGTTGCTTGACTGCTACTCTCTGCAGATGTACAGTCTATAGTCTGGTGCACGAAGGTGTTTGATTTGGCATGGGAACTTGGAACTCTGCCCAAGATGACATGTCTGGTATATTCACCAGAATTTTCACTATCACTTTCGCTATCATCATCATAACAGTATTCCCACTCCTTTTTTTTCACCTCCTTATACATGACTTGTACAGAGCACACATTTTCAGGATCAGGTTCATGCACTGAGCAATGTAATTTATTTGTGGTTTCCTAAAAAAACAAAACAAAACAAAAACACACACACAAAAATTACACACAGATAAGAGTATAAGAAAGTAATCTTGTTATTTACTTTAACAACTGCCTCACCACTTTGCACTTATACTAGTACACAGGCGAAAGTGTTCAGAAGTCAATGGATCACCCCAATAGAAATGTTTTGGCATTATCTTTCAAAGCTCTGAGAATCCAGAAGTCTTCCCCCTCCTGCACTCAAAAAAGAATGGCATCCTGCTCCAAAACAGAAACACAGAGAACTGGATAGACTCTGCAATTGCGTATTCGTTCCAAATAAGATCAGAAATGACCTTATGCTTTTCTCCAAAGAAAACCCCAGATGGAAGGCACTGTGTTTTCAAGATGTACTTTTGTGGGATTTTCTCTGTTGAAGAGTGTCAAATATATTTTGTGGCAAGGTTTTGAAGAACAAGGAAAAGGGGAGGGAAAAGAAAAGTTTCCAGCTCTCTTTGCAGAGACAAATTTCCAGGACTGAAAGCTCATCTTTGAAAAGAAAATGGGTTCAGCGGGTAGTCCTGAAACTCTTCAGTACACTGCTTAACTAATGCTTTATATTTCCTTCTTGGAAGCTAAGGATCAACTTTTAAAGCCCTTTTAATATTTGCCACCTGTACAAAATCTTATATGTATATATAATATCCTAGCTGTATGAATTCTGTAAAAGACATTTTCTCTCATAACAAACCTGAGAAAGATTGTTTTAGTCAAAATATGTGAGACAATGTACAATGTATTTCACCAATTAAATTTCCTTTTTTCTACTAGTCTCACCATTAATCCCCAATCATGGATTTTGTCTTCATCTGTACAGTGACTGGAGACAGTTACTTTAAAGTCTATGCAGGGGATGTTGGCCCTGCCTACCTGGCCAACCACCAGAAGAGTTATTCTAAACCAGGGGTGGGCAAACTTTTTGGGCCGAGGGCCACATCTGGGTGGGAAAATAGTATGCAGGACCGGGGCAGGGGGTTGGGGTGTGGAAAGGAGTGTGGGGTGTGGGAGGGGGTGCAGTGTGCAGGAAGGGGCTCAGGGCAAGGGATTGGGGCAGAGGAGGGGTGCAGGGTGTATGAGGGGGCTCAGAGAAGGGGGTTGGGGTGCAGGAGGGGTGTGGAGTGCAGGAGGCGGCTCAGGGCAGGGGTGCAAGTGGGGTGCGAACTGCGAGAGGGGGCTCAGGGCAGGGGGTTGGGGTGCAGGAGGGGTGCAGGGTGCGGCAGGAGGCTCAGGGCGGGGTTTGGGGTGCACAGGGGTGCAGGATGCAGCAAGGAGCTCAGGGCAGGGAGTTGGGGTGCAGGAGGGGTGCGAGGTGCAGGCAGGGGGCTTAGGGCAGGGAGTTGGGGGGCGGGGTACAGGAGGGGTTTGGGCTCCAGCCCTGCTTACCTCAAGCGGCTCTGGGGTGGCAGCGGTGCACACTGGGGCCAGGGCAGGCTCCCTGCACACCTGTCCTGTCCCTGGCCCTGCGCCACTCCAGGAAGTGCTGCGGCCCCTGGGGGAGGGAGGGCAGAGGGCTCTGCGTGCACTGCCCTTGCCGTGCCTCCAGATACCTCCCCCGAAGCTCCCATTGGCCGCGGTTCCCAGTTCCCGGCCAATGGGAGCTGCAGGGGGCGGTACCTGGAGGCAAGGGCAACGCATGGAGCCCTCTGCCCCCCTGCCCGAGGGCTGCAGGGACGTGGTGCCGGCGGCGCCGTGCGTCGGATCCAAAGCCCTGAGGGGCTGGATCTGGCCCGCAGGCCGTAGTTTGCCCACCCCTGTTCTAAACCTATAAGTACTTAAGTGTTTTCTAGCTTTGACACTTGGTAGTTAATGACAGATTTTGTCATACGTTTGTAGTTGGCTATGAGAAAACATAGCAATTCTAGAATACTCACATGCTAATTTCCTTTCTTCTAGTGAAATTTCCATTCCATTCTCTAGCATAAACTCTCCCCTAATCCTCACTGATATAAGAATACACTAATAAATTATGAAAGAGAGACTGAGGGGATAAGAGAGAAATCCTGAATCCTGTGGCATATCTATTTTGGAACCACTAGTTAGAGCACAGTCCTGGGGATGATTGCAGATCCAGTTTATAACATCTGATATACGAGGAATCTGAAGGCCAGACTTCTTCTATGTATATCTATTTCAGCAAAGATGTTCTTTGCTTGGGAGACTGCTGATGACATTGTAGATCAAGTTCAGGTTTCCTCAGGAATGACGTACCCTGAAGACTTGTATGCTTCCTCAAAGCAACATCTTATCCACCTGGCCAAAGAAGCCCTTCATGACTTGTCTCCTTCACACCCTGGGTGTAATGACATAAGTAAAATACTGGGCTCTTATTCAGTGTGTGATAGATCGATTGTAAGAGCTCTTTTCCACATTTCATCCAGAGTTTTGTCTTTTCTTATGAAGGTGCTGAATTTTTAGCACTTCTTGGTCTCCTGTCCTCTTGTGGACAATAAAAAATATGAAGAACAGCTTTGGGAATTTTTCTGCTGTTGGCCCTCCAGAATGACAGGGGACGAGATCTCCTGCATAATTAGCATGTGTCTTTCCTGACTTCTGAACTTTGGGGACTGGGACATCATAGGTTGGTATGAAATTCTAGGGCATTTACTTCCCCTCTCTGTGTCTGTTTTTCCTCCACATCTTTGTGTACCTTGTCTATTTAGAGTGTAAGATCTTCAAGGTGTCCATAGATTTTAAATTGTGACTTCATGCCATAAAGGCTCTAGCCAAACCAGCAGAAAATAGAGCCACTTTCAGGGCAGCTGATGATTCAAACTCTTTTCTCAGGAAGCGCTCTGCCTCTGGTAACAGGGTTTCTCTCTCTCTCTCTCTCTCTCTCACACTCTCTCTCTCTCCACCTGAGACAATACCTACATTCTTTGGCAATGAAGCCACCTCAGCTTCAATTCTCAGAATCTTTGTGTTCCTGGATCTTATCAAGAGCTAAGGCTTGCCTGCTTAGCTGCTTGCCTTTGTCTGGCAATGCCCATTCAAATCTTACCATATCCTTGAAAGAAGTAAAAGTGCAAAGCATGTCTAATTTGACTTTGCAGGGCAGATAGTTGCCAGGGGACAGTTTGTTTCATCTTCTCAGAAACAGGTTTAGCTGGCTGTTTGTAAATGGCATTTTCTCATTTTTCTTCTCAAGGCTTCAAACTCTTCTTTCAAGAAAACAATGTACAGACTACAGTCTACTTTAGCACAGATAATTCACCGTTCTCTGTGTAAGAGGAACTTGAGGAATCAGACAGAGAAGCTCTGTGCTTTTTAGGCTGCCCCTTGGGCTCCCTGAATTTCTTGGGCTTCTTAGATTTTGTCGTCGCCCCCTTTCTGTGCTTTTTTAGCAGGGGCCTCCCAAGTCTCACACACAAACTTCTCTTCTACCTTGCATCTAGAGGATTTCAGTCTGTCTGGGGAAAGCTTTTGATACCATCTCCCACAGTATTCTTGCCAGCAAGTTAAAGAAGTATGGGCTGGATGAATGGACTACAAGATGAATAGAAAGCTGGCTAGATCATTGGGCTCAACGGGTAGTGATCAATGGCTCCATGTCTAGTTGGCAGCCGGTATCAAGTGGAGTGCCCCAAGGGTCAGTCCTGGGGCTGGTTTTGTTCAATATCTTCATTAATGATCTGGAGGATGGCGTGGATTGCACCCTCCGCAAGTTTGCAGATGACACTAAACTGGGAGGAGTGGTAGATATGCTGGAGGGTAGGGATAGGATACAGAGGGACTTAGACAAATTAGAGGATTGGGCCAAAATAAATCTAATGAGGTTCAACAAGGACAAGTGCAGAGTCCTGCACTTAGGACGGAAGAATCCTATGCACTGCTACAAACTAGGGACCGAGTGGCTAGGCAGCAGTTCTGCAGAAAAGGACCTAGGGGTTACAGCGGACGAGAAGCTGGGTATGAGTCAACAGTGTGCCCTTGTTGCCAAGAAGGCTAGCGGCATTTTGGGCTGAATAAGTAGGGGCATTGTCAGCAGATCGAGGGATGTGATCATTCCCCTCTATTCAGCATTGGTGAGGCCTCAATCTGGAGTAGTGTGTTCAGTTTTGGACCCCACACTACAAGAAGGATGTGGAAAAATTGGAAAGAGTCCAGCGGAGGGCAATGAAAATGATCAGGGGGCTGGGGCACATGTCTTACAAGGAGAGGCTGAGGGAACTTGGCTGGTTTAGTCTGCAGAAGAGAAGAATGAGGGGGGATTTGATAGCTGCTTTCAACTACCTGAAAGGGGGTTCCAAAGAGGATGGATCTAGACTGTTCTCAGTGGTAGCAGATGACAGAACAAGGAGTAATGGTCTCAAGTTGCAGTGGGGGAGGTTTAGGTTGGATATTAGGAAAAACTTTGTCACTAGGAGGGTGGTGAAGCACTAGAATGGGTTACCTAGGGAGGTGGTGGAATCTCCTTCCTTAGACGTTTTTAAGGTCAGACTTGACAAATCCCTGGCTGGGATTATTTAGTTGTGGATTGGTCCTGCTTTGAGCAGGGGGTTGGACAAGATGATCTTCTGAGGTCCCTTCCAACCCTGATATTCTATGATTCTATGAAAGAACCTCAGGGGAGAGCATGTTGGAGCATGCTTTGGGGAGTAAGGGAAAACCCCAGCCAAGAGAGGTCACAGTACCCATTTCAGAAGTGGGCAAGGGATGTTAGCATTCTGATTCACAAGGAAGTAGAGCCTTAAAGTGACCCAAAGCACTGCTCATTGCGCCTTTCCTAGGAGAAGGAAATCAGAAATAATGGGCAAATATTTGTTGCTTAACTTTTATCTAATGAACAATATATCTTGCTACTTGCTGTATAAACATTATGAGCCCTTCCCTCTCCCCCACCAGGTAAATTAAATATGAAAAAGACATACCAAAACTTTTGGCCACGGTTTACTTTTTAAGCAAATGAAACCTCCTTTATACAGTCCTAGTAGGAAGATGCCTATTATCAATGAAACAAGTCCACCATTTAGGATTGGAATTATACCATAACCTGCAAATGGGAAAAAAAAACATACTGAGTAAAACCCAATAGATGCAGGAGAGATTTCCAATTTATCTTATTTTATATTACACACTTATTTAAGATTGAAAAGGACAACTCTGCATCACTGAAAACAATTAAAGGGCTATTTGTACAGCCAGCAGTATTAGCCAAAGATATCAGGTACCTCATATGTCATTTATAGGTCCAACCAAATGTCTATCAAAAGATGCTTTCTCTCTTACTGGGATATTTACCAGTTTCCCTTTTCTGAAAATACTATTAAAAACTAAAAAACAGCCATACTGACAACCTGACCCCCTCCCTCACCAAACTTTAAAATATGTGATACCTGCTTGAATGTTGGACCTGGTGATTATACATTTCAAGGCTGAAGGGATGGAATGAAGGTTTAAGGATGCAGCCACAGCAACAGACACACAATAATTTGTATTTGAACGCAAGCTTCCAACAACATAGGTAAAGCTTTCTTCAGAGGTTTCATTCTTAATAGGAATCTGCCACGAAAACAGTATCTTATTGAAACCCGTTTGTCTAAACAGAGTTGTTAAACACTGATTAAAAAAAAACGTGCATAGAATAGCTATTTTAATATCCCATTGTGAAGCTGCACAGTAGCAAGTACACCTGAGTTGTATAGTTGGGGGTGGGGGTAGAGTGGGGAGGAAGCATAGCACTTTTTCAGTTTTCGAGAGAAGGAAAGCAGTTACTAGAGCTCAAGGACTGACCCTACACTTCTGTCCACTGGATTCAATTTATTAAAAGGGTATCATTACAGATAACTCAATCTTACAAGTTCTACATTAGCAAGAAGAGGGTGCACCATAAAACGGCACTTTTGCTGTTCAGTAGAAAAGCTAGCAGTCTTGTATCTACATTCCTTTTCTCTTTCTTCAAATATATCTGTCTTCACAGTGGATTATTAAAGACTTTTAGAAGAGTCCCCTTCAATGGTTTTGATTATTATTGTTCATTACATCTGATCTCAGAAGCTTAGCTGAATTGGGTTGGGTCAGTTCTTAGATAGGGGGCCTAGATGCTGCAGAAAACAGTGAATTGAATCACTCATATTTTGGTGATTAGACACCACTGTGACAGGCACTGTGGAAATACTTCTTGCACTTCTCTCTAAGTCAGTAATGAACCCAGCCCACATTTTCATCTGGAGAGAATTCTTATTCAATGTCTGTCCCAATCTGTTGTCATGTAATACTGAACAAATGTGTGACCGAATGCACCCCTGTAGTCACACCCTACACACCATAGTAATAATCTTTGTATGAAATATGCCTTGTAAGATATCATTTGAAAACTAATAACTGGCTTGTCAATCACATCAAGGTGAAATGTGAACAACAACATTATATGTAAAGTTATAAAGATAAGTAGAAATTAGATCTGAAATGTGTTTACCAGAAAAGTCTGGGTAAACCAGTTTCTCAAAGACAAAGGACAAGCTAATGCCTCTAGTCAGGAGGCATCAAAGTTCATGGGCAATCACCTACCAAGTGGCCATTCTTTGGCAAGGAAGGGGGAGCATGAACAAACAAATCTGCATCTTAGCAAACAACAGACTCCTTGTCTCTGTCCTCACAGTGAGAATGAACATTATCGAGGGGTAACCTTCAGGAAAATGCATTTCAGAAGGCGACTGAACTATAAAAGTGAGGGGCAAAAACACTCCAAGTTCTCTCTCCCTATCCCTCTCTCTCTTTCACCTAAGACGACAAAAGAAACAACCTTTGGACTCTTGGAGAAGATCCTGGTCTGAGAATTTGGTCAGCAATGTTACTGGAAACATGTGGCAAGAGACTTCACCTTGAACCAAATCAAGATTGTTAAGTTTTAGTACTAGGAAGCATTTTATCTTTATTTCTCTTGTATCATTTGTGAATTTAATGCCTTATACTTGTACTCACTTAAACCCCATTTCCTTGTAGTTAAATAAACTTGTTTTATTCTTTAATCAAAAGTAATCCATTGTTGTGACCCATGTGTGTAGCTCAATTTAGGGTAGCAGACTGTTGTATACTTATCCCCTTAGAGGGGCAATGGACCTAATAGATCTGGACTGTCCAGGAGAGGGCCGGATAGTACAGAACACAGGTTTTGGGGGAAAATCCAGGACTAGGAGTGTGTTGGAGTCACCCTGCAAGTGGTCACCAAGGCTGGTGGAAGCGAGTGTGAGACTGATGTGTCACTGCCAGGCTACAGCTAGACACAGATATTCAGGGTGTTACCCGCATGCTACAAAGCTGTTTCTGAGCAGCCCAAGTGGAAGATACAGCAGCAAAGCATTGTGTGGCACCCAGGATTGCAGGGCAAGGGTGACACTGCCCCACATTGGTCTTGATTACACCCTAGAATGTCATAAACCTTCAAGATTCATTTTAGAGGCAACTTCATTTTAGAGGCGGGAGAAGTGATCTCCTTATACAGTTCACTCTGGGATCCTTCAGGATGAAAGTGACAATGTAAATGTGTTCTTTACTTTTCAAGTGAGTTGAAGGAACGGCACACTACAATTTAAAATTGGGATAGGGGAGCTCCTAGAGGGAAAAAAAGGCACTTTTGATATTCACTAGCACTGAGTTTACTTTTCTTATCAATACTATGTGATACCATAAGACCTGACATACCAGAACAAACCAATGGTCTACCTAATCAGCTATTTTGTCTCTAGCAGTAGCCAATGTCAGATGCTTCAAAGGAATGAAGAGAATCCCCTACACTGCACTTCCTGGTGAATACTTTATCACTGGGGGGTGGAGTGAAGGGCAGAAGGATTTCCTCCTGTACCCAAATCATCAGTTCATGCCTCAAGAAGGCTCATATTTATCCTAAGTAGTGTAAACCACTGACAATAGTCTTATTCATATAAAGAGCTAGGATAAGATACGACAGAGCTCATCTTCAGCAAGCTTCCTTACTGCTCAAGCCAATTTATATTTTATGCTTTGTACGTTTTTCTTTAAATCTTAAAAAACTACAAGTTACTTACCTTTTCCTTTCTATCAAATGATTCCACTGTTATCGTATAATCAAGTTTTTGATATATAGCAATTAAAGAACTTTCTTTTAAATATGCGGCTGGAAGTTTTACTGTCACATTTATGCAGGCGGGACAAGCAGTAAGATTAACTGCTGGTGGACCCAAGTATGCTGTTTAAGGAAAAAGAAAACAAACCCCAAAACTATAACTACATTTATACATTTAACATCAGTTAGACAAGCTGTAAAAATCAAGTAAATTCCCATGTGTCAGATGATTGACTAATTAGTTGCCCAACAGGGCTTGAAATGATCAAAGATTAGGGGAAAATTGTTCCTCCAATTTTTTTAGCAGAGGGAATAAAACAGAGTAAAACCTAAAACAATCCAAAAACTACCATGGGAGAAAAGGGGATTGGGGAGGAGGGTGGGAAGAGAGGGGAGTTGAGCCAAAACAGCAGCATCCCTTGTTTCTCCAGCCCCACAGAAGCCCTTCTGTGTGAATTCTGTGCAACTGAGGCTATGTTTGTTTGGCTTGGAAGCGAGTACAGGCTGATGGGGAAGGGGTGAACATTGTTTTCAGTGGCAGCATCTTCTAGTTAAACACTTGAAATACCCATATGAATTAATCCCTGCGGGTGGCCCCTCCACACACAAATACCCCTTGGAAGGTAGACAAAGGGACTAACTGTTGGCTGGGAACCACTGGCCGCAGAGCTCCAAAGGGAGATGCACTCTTGCAGGTGACTGTGAGGCAGGACCTGAGGAATACCATCTTGAGCCTGGCTTCTGCATGAATACTTTTGCCCTCAAAACAATGCCTGGAGATCCTGTTTCTCAGAACGCCCAGGGGTTTGGAGAGCCATGAGCTCTGACAATTCCCTGACTTTAAAAACTATGCAGACATTTTCTCCACTGCACAACATAGCAGAATCTCCAAAACCTGAAGGTCAAAAGTTTTGCACTTCACTGATCCTTCTGCAAGTGCTGTGTTTTGATCTAATTAGTTATTGTCTACACAGAGCTTTGAAAAATCTAAAACATGCTATGTAAGTGCTAACTACTTGTCTGGTTCATTATTGTAATCATATAGGTAAAACAAACAATCATTTTAAAGAGGTGGCGTTCTGACCTTGCTCCAAACAGGAGCATGCACACACTTAATACCGTCCAAATCTTACTCCCCACCCCTTCCTGTGGTTTGCCTGTTGTTTAATTTATACAAAACAACAATAAACCTCAACCTAAGCTTTCACCTGAACGTGATTGTTCCCATGGTTTTTGACTGCAAGAGTCATCTGTCTCTGCCTCAAATCTTTCTGCCAAGGAGAGAGAGGCTCCAACCCTTCCTATTTTATGGGTAGGAGTAAATCAGATGCTTTAGGGTAATGGATCAGAACAGCCCTGCATTTCTACTCAGGGTCATCTCGGTTTAAATGTGCACCAGGAAAAGAAAAGAAAAGAAATAGATAAGTTGCCCTTGTTAAAACATTTACCATTTGAGCTTGGCTCTTCAGTAAACTGATAATACTTTTCTGCAACTTTACAAAACAGCGAACATAGAGGTGGCATGGGAAAGATGCTAGCGCACCCTCATCCATGAAAACGTATCCATAAATGCGAAACAGCTGGAGAACACTGTTACAGAGTAATATTTTTATTTTTCTGATACATATCTATGAAAAATAGGTGTTTGGAACAATGAAGTCTGAATACAAGGTACAATTTACCATTTCCAATTTTTTAGAACAATCTCATTGTAAGGCACTATGTTGATGAGTCAGCTGAGGAAAAGTGTTACATTATTTTCAAGTTTAGGGTTCTCTGCTTCATCAGATAAATGGGCATTGATGTTTGGACAGAAGAGGACAGGAACAAGGGTGTGTGTGGGGAAAGCTATACAAGTCAACTCAAGTTGCAATAAGGGCTACACTATTCCCTGAAGGCCTGCAAATTTGAGATGCAAAATAGCTTAACCATTATATTTAAAACTAATGGAGAAACTTCCATTCATGAAAATGTTATCCTGGCTCGACAGCATTACAATTAAAGTATTTCAGAGTCTTTGATTTGAGTTGATACTATTTCTGTAACCTTGTACCTAACATGAGGTACAGTAGTCTCTGTGTTCAGTTTAACCACTTGCTCCCCAATATAAATGGTCCTTATTTCAGGAGAGGAAAAAAAGAAATTAGTGTGGCGATATTGTTAATAGGACTCCAGGGAGAAGCAGCCTCTAGTAGTATTAGGCAATCATTGCTAATGAGCATCTGGTGTTTATGTGAGACATACCAAAGGGGGTAGGGGGAAATCAAGGTGACAGCTAGAATGGAAACAGATATTCCTCCACCCCTCACCTTTTGTTTTTGCCTGCTCAACACTTAACCAATTAATTATCTTCAAAAAAGTAGATTATGCAATTTATAAAGGTAGTAATTTTTTTAAATTTCTACTCTCAAATGCCCTAAATGATGCTACCACCTTTATAAAAGTCTGTAATAAAAACACATAAAAGAAATTGATTCTTATATCTGCACAGTGGAAGGAAATCTATTCCAACATTTGCTTTTTCCTTCAAAACCGTTGCTTGTTTCTATTCATAAGAACTATTCAAGCCATGTATTATGTATAGATAGCTTTCCATTTATTATAAAACATTATATATATATACTAGATGATATGTTAGCTCAAAACATAAAATAGTATATCACCAACTAAATTACTTTGGAGTTACTTATAGTACCATTAGTAAAACACTGGTTATGTATAGCTGAGAATAAAAACAAGACAATGAACAAATGCAGATAAAATAGAATAGTAAGCGAAAACTTACTGGACCTATATGGAGAGAATTCAAGAATAGATGAATTTAATTCTCCATGTTCTGTGACTCTCTGAACCATTGCTATGTAGGTAGAAGTATATTCTTCATACTCCTTTGTCAAGTTACAGAATAGGTGTGTGGTATTTGAACATTCTTTAGCCATTTTCCATTCCTTTTCTGATCCACTTTAAGTAGAAAGAAAAAAAAAATCAGTGTTGTTCAAAGGATCTTCTGATTTGTGACTGTACCTCTGGAGAGTAACATGAAAACTCAGAGATGCACTGGATGAAGCGATCACTGCTCTCACCTTAAACAGTGTCAAAAATAATCAAAACGACAAAGACTAGTAAAATCCGTATGGTTTATTTACAGTGTACCTACATGGGGAGTGGAAGAGAGGTACATGTTTGACAAAGAAACCTGAAAAAACAAAATCTCAGACCACAACAAACCAGAATGATTAAGGGATAAAAACAAAAATGATATACAAGAAGTGTCAGTCATAAGCTTTGCACAGGATCTCCCACTCACCTCGGCAACATAAAATAAACTTCCTGAAGAGGGACCCCACTTGCTCCTCTTCTCAAAAGGCTACCCCAATCTGCTTAATCTGTTTTAGGATCATATTGGCTCCTTTCCTGGTCCATATAGGTTATGTACACACTAATTTCTTCTCAATATAACCCTACCCAAAATCAAAACACCACCACGACAAAATCTGGAAACTAACAATGTTTGCAGCCCCTCACATTTTTCACTCTGCTTGTAGGTCATACTCCGCTTCTCCTGAACCCTTCATCTTCTCTATTTAAAATGTTAACTCATTGGGGCAAGGACTCTCTTATTATGTGTTTTCACACTGCATTGCACAATAGGGCTCCAATCGGAGATGGGTCTGTACATGCTACTGTATTACAAATAATAAATAGAATGCGGGAGAATCCTTTTTACTTAAATGTGACCTGCAAAGGATTATTTAAAAAAAATAGTTTAACCCAGAAAGTTGTTTGCATGTCTCAAGACAGCCTGAGACAGAACAGCATTTGACATATAACATTGAGCACCCAGATGGGATCCCATTTCAGGTTCCTCTTCCAATGTCTCGAGTTCTGTAATGATGACACAGATCGTATTTCTGTTATGACAAAAATATTAGGAAGCCACACTGCATTATGGAACATCAAAGGTAAGTAGCATTTAAAACATGACATGGTATGTTCTTGAAAAGTTTAATTTATTTTATATTCTTAAGGTTATAAAATTGTTCTTTTAAAAAATGTGGATGTCTTTTTTTTTTTTTAATACCATTTAGGTAACCTCTTATTGGCAGTGTCTGTTGGCTTGCCAAATTTCCTGGTACCTGTGATGGCACAGAATGAGGCATTCTGGAGTGGGGTGGGAGAACAGGAACTGAACAGTGTTACACTGGGAAAAGGGAGAGTTTGGAGTGAAATCCAAAAAGGAAAACAAAAAAATAGTTTAACTGTATTTATTTTTATTTATAGTTATCTAACCTTTGTTCTGTGTTGTTATATGCCCAGTGCCCCAGATTATGTGGGGCACTCAGCACATATGTTATCACCAGTTTGAAAAATATTTGATTTAAAGCTCAGTGTGCTCTGCACACATGCACTATCAAATATAGTATGGCTCAGCCCCAGTCAGCCAATCCATCACACTTCCAAAGGGCTCGTGGCCCAATCTCTCAGTTAAGGTACAGTACTTTGCACTGATGAAAGAATAAGAACAGAAAGTAACAGAAATTATCAACAAAAGCGGAAGTTATCATTCCTTTGATAAATACAGGTTTCTTCCATGTACAAATTTGCTCTAGGAATTAATGTGTACTTGTTTAAAATTGTTCACATAGCTACTCATATCTTAAAACCTAATTCTTTCCCTTGTATCCGATGAATGGCAAATTTCAGAAAATCTATTTGGAAAACAAAATAGTCAATACAATATTTTGACTACTAAGTAAGAAAAAGTACAAATTCATGTACAGTATGAAAGGAAACAAACCTGAGACCTATGTATTTCACATTATAGTATGTTGGCATAGTTGTATTACTTCCTGGTTCCCATGATAAAATGTGCTGGAAATTCTGAGAGTCTATTGTTAACTTCTGAGGTGGATTTATCACAGATGCTTCTAGATTAAAAGAAAAAGTTGCTAAGATTAAGAAGCATTCGAAAAGGACAGCAAATGCAATACCATTATACATGGTAATTCTACTCACCAATTAGTTAAATATCAGCCCCCAAAAAGATAAGAAAACTACAAGATTGAAGATGAAGTCATTTTAAATTGCACATTCATTGCATTGGAGGCACAAGTGCATGGGACTGTCCTGCAGGATATTATCCATATAGCTTTCTTACATGGAAATGCACAATGAAGTCAAAAGGATGCCGGATGGAAGTATACACATCTTTTGAGCTATTTCAAGGATTGTGCTTAAAATACAATAAAAATTCTTACCTGGCAAGCTGAACAAAGTAGTGGTCAAAATGCTGAGGTACACTGGAAATGAAAACATGTGTATATATATTTATTCATTAGAGAAATGGTACATGTGTGTTCTACAGTATTTGTCAATGATAAATTAGAGTTCTTATTCATTTACTATTAGTGATACTAATCTTGTTCTCTATCTCTATCATCATTTTCCTTTCAGATTATACCATTTTTTTCTTGATGAAACTGCACTTGAATTATTTCCTTTCTGTATCAAATGCTTTTCCATTACTATCCTTAAGGAGGTGATCAGTGATAGCTCAGGTGTTTCTAAATTGCATATCATTGTGATATTTAAGCACTATATAATAATTAAAGACAGCCCCAGTAAATAGAAATGTTCTCACAGCCTCCCTTGTCCCCAGTATGTATGTGTGGGTGCTTTTTTCTTACTCTTCCCCCCATCTTGCCATCTTCTTTCTCTCCTCCAATCTTCCAGAATGTGGGATGGCATTTTCCTGGATCATTCAGATCCATGTACACTGTCACTCAGGCTCACTTTGCTCTCCCCTGGTAAGATATTACTTAGCCAGGTTCCTGCTGCTGAAAATACTCTGCTCCACAGACCCAACAATCTTAGCTTGGGTCACCCTAGTTGAAAAGTTCTTTTAGAGCACTGTCATGGAAGGTTGTGAATGGATAATTGGTTTTTGAGGTAGCTCAGACCCCAACCTATTAAGTACCTGGCAAGTCAGTGCCCAGGCCTTAAAAATTCTATCTGGAAAGGGATATGGAGCCAGTAGTACTTGAGGAATATTGGTGTGATATGTTCACATGTGCCTTGGTGGCTACATGTCAGGAGTGTGGACTTCTGAAATATTGTAGCTTGTTAGCAGTTGCAACATGTAATTCACTGCTTTCATTTACCTTAATTCCTATCTCCTTCTTTCCAAACTAAAATCTCAACTGTCTCTCTGGCATCTCCTTGTGGATGTTTAGCTGTTAGTAGAGCCCTGCGCGGATAAAAATTTATTTCTGCGGATGCGGATACTCACAGATATAAATCAGTATCCGCGGAACCGCAGGGCTGTCCCGGGAACCGCAGTGGCGAAAGGAGCAGAACGTGGGGCCGCCGCTCCCAGGAGCCAGTGGCACAGGCCGGCAGCTCCTCCAGCGTGGCTGTACCACCCGCTGCTCCGTTCCCAGCCCTGCCCCCATCCCTTCCACGCAGCTGTCTGCATTTCCTGTTTGGGGGCGTGCGTGCCACTTGAACACAAGAGTGAGACCAGGGACAGTTGCTGGTGAGCCTGGTGCCCACCCCAGTGGGCAGGGCTGGAGGCTGGTACAGCTGCACTGGGGCGCTGGCTCCTGGGAGCGGTGGCCTCACGTTCTGCTCCTTTCGCCACTGCGGGTTCTGGGGAGAGCCGTGTGGTTCTGCAGATACAGGTTTATATCCGCGGATATCCGCATCCGCGGATCTAAATTTGTATGCGTGCAGGGCTCTAGCTGTTAGCTGAAGCTCAACATGGCTGAAACTGAGCTTTGAATCTTTCCACAAAAGTAAGGTTACCATATGTCCGGGTTTCCCCGGACATGTCCGGCTTTTGGGTCTTTAAATAGCCGTCCGGGGGGAATTTGTAAAAAGCTAAAAATGTCCGGGATTTCCCCCGGACGGCTATTTAAAGACCCAAAAGCGCTGACAGGGCAGCCACGCTGGGGGAACCGTGGCAAGCCGGTGCCGCCGGCGCCACTCACCTTTCCGCCCTAGGGCAGCGCGCAGTGAGTTCCCGGCACGGCGGCGCCAGCCCACGGGGCCCCCTGCCTGGCCGGCAGGAGCCTGCAGAGCGCAGCCCTGCCCCTGCCCCGGCACACAGAGAGGCAGGGAGGAGGTCTCGCTCCCCTGCGTGCTGCAGCGGGGCGGGGCCTGTAGACTCCGGCAGCAGGCAGCGGCCGCCGGGCAGAGAGCCCCCCCCCTGCCCCTGCCCCCCTCACCTCGACCCGACCCTAGGAAGGGGCCAGAGGGACTGGGAGGGACCTGCCTGCTGGATGCTTCCTGGGAGCTGCTCCAGGTAAGCACTGCTGGGCTCACCTGGCCCCCTGGCAGGTCCCTCTGGGGGGGCTCCCCTCAGACCCACTGCCCTCAGGCCCCACCCTGACCCTGTTCCCTCAGCCTCCCCTGCAGTGCCCCCTGTACCCCCACCCTCAACCAACTGCCCTCAGCCCCCCTGACCCTGTTCCCTCTGCCTCCCCCACAGTCCCTCCCCCCGATCATTTCACCCGACCCACTGCCCTCAGCCCCCACCCTGACCCTGTTCCCCCTGTACCTCCCACCCCGAACCCACTGCCCTCAGTCCCTGCCCCCATTCCAACAGCCTCCCCCACAGTCCCCCTGCTCCCCGCAACCCACTGCCCTCAGCCTTGCCCTACCCCAAATCTCTTCTTCAGCCTCCCCCGTCATCCCACCCCCATCGCTCCCCCTGCTGTCCCACCCCCTCAACTTCCCACCATTCCAGTCCTGCTCCCCTCTGTCTCATCCCCTCCAGACCCTGTCCCTCTCCCCAACCCTCCCCAGCCCAGCCCCATTGTCTCCCCCGCCCCACCCCACTCTACACAGCTCTCTCTACCCTGTCCCATTCATGCTCCCCTCAGCCCCTACCCTACTCCCCCCATCCCAGTCCTGTCCCATCCCCCTCAGGCCCCCCAGTCCCAGTCCTGTCCCTCTCAGTTCCTCCACCCTGCTTCCCCTGGTCCATCCCCACACACCCACCGACTCCCTCGACCTCCCTCCCCCCAATCCCACTGCCTGGACCCACCCCCGTCCCACTCAGGACCTAAATGAAAAAGAAGCAATGGGCTTAAATTGTAGCAAGGGAGAGTTAGGTTAGACATTAGGAAAAACTTCCTAACTGTAAAGGTAGTTAAGCACTGGACAAATTACCTAGAGAGGTTATGGAATAGCAGTCATTGGAGTTTTTTAAGAGGTTAGACAAACACCTGTCAAGGATGGTCTAGTTGTTATTACTCAGTCCTGCCTCAGTGCAGGGGTTTGACTAGATGACCTGTTGATGTCCCTTCCAGTCCTACATTTCTGTGATTCACACTGAATTGCCTTGTGCCACTGTCTAGTAGTAGTGGCACACAGTTCTCTGACATGCAGGTTTATAAAATTGTAGTTAATATACAGTTTAGAGCATAGCAATTTTAAAGCTCTGCATGTTCAGACCAACTGAGCTGAAAATTGTGATCTATAGTATTCAAAACTATTAAGATGTGGGCTGAAATAAAATCAGCATGAATTGCTCAACAATATCAATGGAATCAGCATTGCGCTGCTATATATTGTAAAACATTACAGTGAAATCTTGCAAGTATTACATAGCACGCCACCTTGCCCAAGTGGTAACTAAGCACAACATCTTCCTGTTTCAACATTCTTAACTTGTATCCCTCCTGGAAGTTGTTTTTTTTCAAACACTGAATGCTGCTAAGTTATGAGTTTTAACAGGTTTTTTTTCTTTTAAACCACAGCACTGAATGTTATTCTAAAATTGTTTTCCAAATATTCTTAAACTCCCAGTTTATCCCCCGCTGATGTTCATTGTGAAAAGTATTGCAGGTCTAATAATAATATTTGGCACTTCTGTAATTCACTGTCCAACATGTGTTTTGTGCCCTCCTGTGGTGGATTTTTAGAGGATAACTGTATAGCTACAGGGAGTTATATCTTGAACTCAAGTAGTAGAAGCTCATGCTTTTAAGTCTGGATGGCTCAGGTTCAATCTTTGGTGACTAGCTATGATGGAGGTTGCTACACTTATAATCCCTTTAATCAGAAGTTCTGAATATGCTTTGTTGTGGGCAGAACTAGCCTATAGTTAAGCAACTGAAAATTTAGAATGGGAAGTGTTGAAATGTTGGGAAGCCTTATAATTTTGCCAATCTGGAACGAACATCCCATCTGAGGGATGGGGGCGGGGAGAGAGGAGAGTGAGATACGACCAGGAAACTGGGACAAGGAATCCAGAGTGGTAGTGGGGGGCAGTTGAAATCAGATGAGGAGCTGGGGCGGGTTAGACAGCAATAGGATAGACATAGACTGGAGGGGACGGGGAAGAAGGGTCTTTGACTACTAGAGACCACTCCGTTCTCCGAACATTTGATTCGCGGGAAGCAGGGGAGGGGGAAGAGTAGGGGGTGAAGCGTTCAGGGGAAGGGGCGGAGTTGGGGCGGGGACTTTGGGGAAGGGGCGGAGTTGGGGCGGGACCGGGGGCCCTTGGAGTGTCCTCTTTTTCCAGGACTGCAATATGGTAACCCTACACAAAAGCCATCCACACTCCCTCCTTCCTCGATCACTGTGGACACCACCAGCATCTTGCCTGTCAGTCAGGCCTATTACCTGGGCATTATCTTCAATTCGGACCTCTCTCTAGGTACCCACGTCCCAGCTATGTCTAAATTTTGCAGATCCTTTCTGCAAAACATCTCTAAAATATGCCCTTTCCTTTCATCCACACAGCTAAAACCCTCATCTAGAGTCTCATCATCTAGTGTCTCAACTGCTGCAACATCCTTTACTCTGGCCTCGACAAAACACAGTCTTGCCCCACTCATATCCACTCAGAATGCTGCTGCAAATATCATTCCCTTAGCCCATTGCTTTGACCACATTACCCCTCTCTGGCTCCCTCTTCTTTATCGCATCAAATGTACGTTGCTTGTATTCACTTTCAAAGACCTTCACGGTCTATCCCCACCCTCCTTACCATCTCTCATTTACTATTCAGATGTCAACCCTCACCTTCAACTGGCCAATAATGCCAGCCTCTACTGCCCACTTGTTAAATTTTCAAACAAGCACCTTTGTACCTTCTCCCATCCTGACCCTCACACTTGGGAAGAGCTCCCCATAAACACCCACAAAGTTACCTCATCGTGCTCCTTCAAATCTTTCCTTAAAACTCTCATTTACCGTGATGCCTCCAAAAAATCAACAAGTAGGCCACTGTTGCACTGATACCACTGCCTATCATGCTGACCAACATTGGCTCTTTTTTTTTTTTTTTTTAATACTCCTGCTTGTTGGTATCTACCTGTTATACTTCCTATCTTATACTTCATTTGTAAGATCTTTGGGGCTTGGACAACCTTTTTATTTTGTTTGTACAGCACCTAGAACAATGGGGTTCTGGTCCAGGGCTAAGGCTCCTAGATGCTACAATAAATAATAATATAACCATTTTAAGCTTTTAACAAAAGTCACAGCATGGAAGATTTTGAAAGGATGAAAGGAGTCTTAGGACAAAACTTAAAATACATGACCACTGAATGGAGGACTGTAAATTAAGGCAAACCCACCTTAAATCAAAGTGGGTTCAAGATTCTAGTGGGACATCAGCCCAGGTTAAGAAGGAGGTTAATAAGCTTGGGCACATTGGAAGGAATTATCCAGCATTGATATAAGTTAGTAACATTTTTGTATTAATTGTCTGAATATTCTATTAGGGAAAGTAATTCTTGTTTTAATTTAAAAGTGTCAGTCTATGAGAGGAGGGATATACAACTTAGCAGTGAAATAAACTACATGATCACAATGAAGACAAATGAGATACAAAATAAAGTGAAATGTCCCCAGAGGTCTAAAAATATTTTCTGAAATAGCAAATTACTTGCTACAATTGAAAAGACAAGCTTTTAACTCAATCATGCATGCTTATAATGCTACATGTAATACAGTATAACATTTGATTGTACACGGAGAAAGACTTCCAGTCTAATTATTTCCTGGAAATACCCCCTAATTGCTCTTATTATAGTATAAATGAAGTGTCCTAATTACTGAAATTAAACAGTAAGATACCAGTGTAGAATCCTTGAAACTGCAGACAAATGTATTTATAGACATTTCTGTGATGTTCTTCACTATCGTAACTAAATGCCTCGCACATAATAAATTTATTCTCCCAGTATTCTTGGGAACTGACGCACACAGAGATTAAGCAATTTGCTCAAAAATCACACAGTAAATCGGTGGTGGTGCCCAACAGAAACCTTTTCTCTTGAGTTCCAGTCTGTAACTTAACCACAAGACATCCTTCCTGTCACACTCGTTCCTCCTCACTATGACTGCACAACAAAAATCCACAATAGAACGGTGGTTAAAGAGAGTAGAAAGTCAAGAGAACTAGAACAATTTATTTCCTGCATTAGATTATCAACTATTTTATAAAGTTTGGTCAAGTGGGATGAATAGTAAAACACTGCTTTAAAAATAAATAATTGCTATAACTTTTATAATATGTAGAGTAACATATAAGTTAAGATTTTAAGCTTTTGGGGGCAGGAACTCTCTCTTCCCATAGATGTAGCAGCTAGTATATTTTGGGTGCTTCCACTACACAAATAAAATAATATTACTACTGCCTTGTTAGGATACTGATACAGCTTCCAACGAAATAAATAGAAAGTTTTCAAGTGACTTCAGTGGGAGCTGGATGAGGCCCTACCACTTCTGTAAGAAGATAAACACTATTGTTGATACAAGTTATCTTTAATTTAAAAAATAGTAACTAAAACTACAGCTATAAAACGTATCAATTTTGTAGAAGGTTTAGTCTCTGTCCTCAACAGTTAATATTTTTTTAAAAGTGTAACTTCTTTGGCAAGCACAATGGGTGAAATTCCTATTCTGGAGAATTCACATTGCCCTCAACAACCGAGTTTCCTTACATCAACAGAAACTTGGCAAGCCTTAACATGAAATCATATTTGTCAGCAATATAATAAGATTCCAGGACTATCACTCTATGTGTCACTATGAAACCTAAAACGTCTGCTGAGCCAATGCGAAGCGATGGAAGCAGCCACAAGAATGGTAGAGGATTCTTTTTGTTCAGAATATCACCAGGCTAAACCATCACTGGGTTTTGCCGTCTTTTACCATCCAATTATTAAGTTTTCAGCTAGTCTGACTTTACAAATTATACAGTGTGGTGTACAGATACTGTAAATTAAACTTGTGCGGTATACCTGTATTCTACAGCTAATTTGCATTCAGCAATTTCATTAGTTGTATGAGGGAGACTGCACCACTGGTGGATTAGTTGGCCCAACCGCTATACCTGTGCACCAACCGCCATCCACACAAGTCAATACAAATCTCCCAGCACAGTTCCTTAGACGCCAACCAACACAATTACCCTGTGACGGGGTACACCAGACCCTCTGAGGCCCCCTGCTAGAGACCTCGAGGCCCTGCCATACCCCACCCCAAAAAAGGGCAGTGGAGAGGGTCCTCCAAGATGTCTAGAGTGGCTGTGTGGGACACAGCCAATCAGGGCCCAGCAGCCTAGTATAAGAAGAGCTGCAGGGCCATAGGGAGTTCAGTTCCTTGCAGGAGCTGAAGGAGTATGGATGGTGTGTGGCTGGTTGACAGAGGTACAGGACCTCGGATGAGGTAGTGCTGCCAGAAGCCAGGGAGAGCGAGAAGGAGCCCTGAGCTGGTTGTGGGGACTCTATCAGGACAAGGCCCTGAGGTAAGGGTGAAGATGGCACAGGGCCACGGGGAAGTGGCCCGGGAATTAGAGCAGCAGCATGACTTAGATAAAGGGACACAGCGACAGCTGCTATCTACAGTGTCCCTGGGCTGGGACCCGGAGTAGTAAGCGGGCCTGGGTCCGTCCGCCCATTAGCCACTGGGAGAAGTGGCCTGGACAGTGAGGCACCCCAGAGGGGGAACTGAACTATAGTGGCCCAGATGGAGAGCTGTAGCCAGGAAGCCCCAAGAGGGTGAAGACATTGTTTCCAGAGGAGGGACAATCGGAGAGAGAGAGGAGTGAGTGTGCAGGCGCGCACATGGCCAAGGGGGCGCTCAGAAGAGGTAAGTGCACCCCGTTACATACCCATATAACAAGGATGCACAATAATGCCAAACACACCGACCCCCCTCACAACAGCATGTGCCCCTCATTCACCACACGCACAAATCAACACAAATATCCCAGCACAACACCCTCCAGACACAATGCCACAAGTAGAACACACAATGACATCAAATGTCACTCTGAAGCTTAGAACATCTGTTGAGTTAGTGTGAAGTGATCAAAACAGCTATAATCATGGATGAGAGCTCTTTCTGTTTAGGTCATCACAAGGTTTAGTCATTACTGTTGCTGACCAACAACAGCCATTTTGGACCTTTTTTAAAAAACAAAACAAAAAACCCCCACAGCTTTACAAATTACACCTGTGCAACAGCGCCAGCTTTCAGCTACTACTTTCCTTTATAGAGTGCTCTTTCTTCAGTATGATTGAGGTCCTGAATAGATACAAAGTTGTACCACTTCAACTATACTGGTCCAGTTGAAGTAGTACAACCTGCTAATGTGGATGCAGTTACACTGGTATAAAAGTGCTTATTCACGTACTGGAAGAGGAATAAGCTATTGTGGTAGAAGACACGTTTATACCAGTATAACTGCATTCATACAGGGGATTGTACCAGCAAAGCTATTTCAATATTATTTTTTAAAATCATACCCTTAACCAAAATAGTGATATTGGTACACAATGTGTGTGTGTGTAGTTCTGGCCTCAGATAGCAAAAGAAACAACAAACTGGAAGACGCTATATCTTGATTTAGATTAGAGGAGGAGGAATGAGAATGCAAAGGGATATGATCTGCAAGTTAAACGGGGAATCTTCAGGAAGAATAAATTCACCGCTTATTCTGTTGCTTTTTCGACAGAGTTAAATTAATCTGCCAAAGCAGTTTCCTGTTAAAATGGCAGATGAGCCAGATTTTTTAGTTGTATAATGTTAGGGTAGGACCCTGATAAATTCCAATGATTTTAAATCATACAGCAATAGTGTACAAAAGTTTAGGACAGGAAATGAAAAATCCTCTATCCATCTGAAAGTACAGGGGAATTTAGGGATGCAGAATGCAACAAGTTCTTCCAGAGCACCCCTCTTCTTATAAAAAATGCCATGGAAACTTTACTGACCACTAGCATGATCAGCACTGCTATTTCTTTGTACTGTATACACAATTAAGTAACTTACCAAGTTGACAAAAACTCAGTGGTCCAATCAGTACTGCCATCATGATTTAGAAGCACATCTTATTGATTGTGAAGTACTCATTTTACTTCTGGATCTGCAATTATACCAAGCAAAATCAACTTCAGCATAATTACTGGATGATTAATATAAAAGCACAACAAGGCTTCTGTAGTAAGAGGTGATATCACACCTTTAATGTCGTGTGAGAACTGGGATGAAACAGTATCTTTAACATGAGATAAGCAGGGTTTGTAGTGTTTCAAATAAACATAGGCAAACATTTGTTTAAAGAAGAAGTATTTTCATTACGGGTTTATATGAAAATGGTGTGACAGACTGACAATATTCTGAATGAACTTTATCAAATTAAGTTGAACATCTTTGGGGTCCATTGTATTAAAAACACAATTCTGTCTGTGTTATTGTGGACCTGTATGTTTGTACCTTCTCTTGGAGACTGACTAATCTCTGGAAGCTTTTACAAACTTCAAAGGACTTTTTGGAACAATACCTGTGAACTGGATATCCTAGGAAGTACCTGGGGAATGCAAATGACCCACTTCCAATCCTCCATTTTCAAACTACACCGTGGGGAGAAAAACCCAGTGTCTACTAATTCCAAAAGTTGCCATTAATGAGATTCTGGAAGTAGTCACTCCACAGGGACTGAAACCATGCTTATTGCATCACAATTACTCTGGGCTGGTCAAGTGTAAAGGCTGGACATCACCAGGATGCCAAAGTAGTTGCAGTGTGGCAAACTGAAATTGGGCAACTGCCTACAAAGTGACCAAAAGAAATGCTTCAAGGACCCATTGAAGCGTAATTTGAAACAATGCAACATTAATGCTTAGAGACATCAGAAACAGATAGATCACTCTGGCAAGCAGCAGTCAATGATGGGGATACCCAATTTGAGATTAACTGCTGTAGGGATCTTGAGGCACAGAGGCTGAGCTGTAAACAGCAGCAGACTCAGGAGACACAGATTGTAATCCCTTCCTCGGTATCGCACTACGTATGCAATTCATGCAGAAAGGACTGCCACTCTTTCCTTGGCCTTTTTAGCCACAATTGTACCCAGAAGACATAAAATAGCTGCTGGAGTCATCTTCGGCTATGAAGGACAACAACAACAGGCGTTAACTCTGGTAAGCTAATTAGCATGTGTGTGGGTTCTTTTATTGTTTTAAATGTTTTCTCGGTAATATTTTTTTACTGAGAATAAAGTAGGCTGTAGCAATTACCCTGTTAACGGTATCTGAAGAGAAAGCAAGCAAGTTCTGTTTGGGCAGCCGGCCTCTGCCGAGGATAACACAATGTAGGCAGGAAATGATGCAGCCTGGAAATACCCGTTAGGCGGGAGAGGAACACGTTTCCATCCAAGTGGGGGAACTGCTGGGGAACTGGGACCCTAGAGTGGGTGCCCTTGCTGGAACACTGAGGTGAAATACAGGTGCAGATGCCCTGAACTGTGACAGATGGCAGTTGGGAGCACTATGCCACTAGATCCAACATAAAAAAGGTGAAAATTAAAAATGGTTTGACTGTATGTGAAATGCTATTAAAATCTGTGGTTATAACAATGAATGTTTCTGGAAAGATGTGGAACATGAGGGGAAATTCAAGATGCACAAAATTATAAACTCTTATTATATTGCTCTTGGCCATAGATGTAATTATTCTACTATCTTAATACTGGTAAAATAATACTTGCAGGATGTAGCCTTAAGTTCCAAACAGTGCACTAAGTTCCATTTTTGCAACCTAATTGCTTTCAATGAACAGCTATAAATGAGGGCATAATTTGTGCTGAAGAATCCTTATTTCTGGTGAGAATGTTTGAGCCAGAAACAACCATTTTACTTTCATGTCTCGGGGAAGTTTACAAGTTAGACAGTTAGAAAAAACAACTTTCTACTTTTTAGAAATCCTAGAAATGTAGGGCTGGAAGGAACCTGGAGAGGCTATCAAATCCATCCCCCCGTGCTGAGGCAGGATTAAGTATACCTAGGCCATTCCTTACAGGTATTCAAATATTTATCTATCCTGTTCTTATAAACCTCCAAGAATGGGGATTATACAGCTCCCCCATGTATCCTGTTCCAGGAAATAACCATCCTTACTGTTAGCAAGTTTTTCCTAATATCTAACCTAAATCTCCCTTACTGCAAATAAAGGCAATTACTTCTTGTCCTACCTTTGCTGGACAAACAGAACAATTGATCAATCAAACTGTACAATTTATAACCATCTTTCCCATATTTAAAGAAATATTTCCCCCCATCCTCAGCCTTCTTTGGATTAAGCATGTCCAATACGTTCAACCTTTCCCCATAGGTCATGTTTTCTAAACCTCTTATTTGTGTTGCTCTCCTCTGACTTTTTCTAATTTGTTCATGACTTTCTTAAAGTATGTGCACCCAGAACTGGGCACAGTACTCTAGCTGAGGCGTCACCTGTGCCAAGTAGTACAGGACAATTACTTCCCGTGTCTTACAAATGACATTCCTGTTAATACATCCTAGAATGATATATGCCCTTTTTGCCACAGCATCACACTGCTGACTCATGCAATGTGTGCTCCATTATAACCCTTTTCTGCCATACTGCTGTCTAGCCAGTTATTTCCTATTTTACATTTGATTTCTTTCTTCCTAAGTATAGTACTATGCACTTGTCTTTACTAATTTCAGACCAATTCATCAAGATAATTTTTAATTCTAATCTTGTCCTCCAAAATGCTTGCAACCCCTCCCAGGTTGGTGTAATCTGCAAATGTTATAATCCACTCCATTATCCAAGTCATTAAGGAAAATATTTAACAGCAATGAGCAAACTTCCTACAGATGCCACTGAAAGACAATAAATGGAACCTCACAATGCTATTTTTACAGTCACTTTAAAGAGCAGAAGTACACTTTAGTAGCATGTCATTTAAGGATCCAATCCTTCAAAGGTATCTATCTATTCAAAATGGGCTTCCCAAGGCAGCCTCTTTGCAGGATCTTGCCCCAAGGCCCTGATCCTGCAAACATTTATGCACATGTTTATCTGTACTTACGAGTAGTCCACTGAAGTCGGTGAAAATACTCATGTGCAAAGTCAAGCATAAATGTAAACATTTTTAGAACCAGTGCCTAAACCAGCAATGGAATATTTGTTTTGAAAAGTGATGGAAAACTCTTCAACAGAAAGCTTAAGGCTAAGACATGATCAGCTACTGAATGAAACCATTTTTCAAGTTTGCACAACATCTGCATTACTGTAAATGTCATAATAATTTCCAAAACATGGATATATTTCTTTTAATCCTAATCCTTACAATAAATCACAAGATACATGCAAAGCACTGAATATTTAGTACTATGCAAAGTAGATGTATTAGTTACCTTTAGGATTCTGCTCTAAATATTATGCTGAATAACCAAAGTAACAGGCATGTCCATACAGTCAGGCATATGATACAATGAATAATAAATTTACCTTTAAAATGATACAGGTTTGAAATCAAGTTACATGTTAACAAGATTCAGTACTTTGTGATTAAGCAGTACAGCTTGTTGGAAAATTTTCAACTAAATATTTTTTCATCAGAATTAGCATATTCAGCAAAATCTAAATGTTCTATGAAGATGTGTCTTGATGAAATTCTGACAGAAACCAGGCAGATTTCCTGCCAGATTTCCTTCCTCCTGGGTTGCTAGGACTCTGGGCAGGTTGGGGAGCATCAGAAACATTTTGAAAAGGTCAAAACAAAATGCCTTTTCAATGTTTCTGAAACAAAACTTTTTTGGATCTCAATTTTGTGGAGAATTTTGAAATTTTGGTTTTGTTCCATGTCAGAATGAAACCAGATTTTGAAATTTCAAAATCCTCCTTAACTGAATTACTGTTCCCTAACCACCAGTATTAAGCAGCCATGTTGAGGTGTGTTGAAACTTTTTAATCCAGGGAACTAAATTAAACACACACACACATATACATATTTCTGTACCTGCAAGGTCTAAATACACATACAAACAACCCTGCAGGAAAGGAAGAAAAAGGAATGAAAATGGGAATATCAAAGAATGAAAAAGAAGCCTTTAGCAGACAGAAGAAACACTACAAGGAACACATTACACAACATTTAATATAAATGAAAGGGATTAAACATTAAATAAAATATTACACATAATACAGAGGTAAACATCAGTACAATGCGGCATCCGTGACATCATCCGAATTTATATCACTGTAAATGCTATAGTCTACAGCAGGGGTCGGCAACGTTCGGCACGCGGCTCGCCAGGGTAAGCACCCTGGCGGGCCGGGCCAGTTTATTTACCTGCTGACGCGGCAGGTTCGGCCGATCACGGCCCCCACGGCCGCGGTTTGCCGTCCCGGGCCAATGGGGGTGGTGAGAAGCGGCACGGGCGAGCGATGTGCTGGCCGCGGCTTCTCGCCGCCCTCATTGGCCCGGGACGGTGAACCGCGGCCAGTGGGGGGCCGCGATCGGCCGAACCTGCCGCGTCAGCAGGTAAATAAACTGGCCCGGCCCGCCAGGGTGCTTACCCTGGCGAGCCGCGTGCCGAACGTTGCCGACCCCTGGTCTACAGTGATACACTACACTCCAATAGGTTAGTACTGTACAAAGAGGAGATAAATGCAATTGTTAAGATAAATTCTTACTTTCTAGAGTCCCTCCGTGACACTGACAGGTCATCTTAAACACATAAACAGGCATACCCCAAGCATTAACAGAAGGTAGTTTCACCATCCCTATAACACATGTATTTCCAAGTATTAATGAAACAGTAGCAACCTAAGAAAAGTCAACTCAATTCATTCAGTTGTTTGGATGTGATGTCTCTTATAAATAGTCGGCGCTTAGAAGCAGCAGAAAACACTGCTTATGGAATTATAGTGTATATTAATTATAATCTGTGATGTAGCATAAGGGATTACATATGGATAAAACTGTCCTTCTGAAGTTATACATCAACCTAGAAAAATTCTTACTTGAAAGGAATTTTATCTGCCCTTTTGTAAAATGGGAGAAATTCAAATCTAAAAAGACTAGCTACAGCATTTAATGCTCACCTACTTCAC